AGCACGACACCAATCCACAACACTACGACTCCCGGAACAAGACGGGACAACGCAACAGGTAAGCAGAGAGCCACTTTACAGACACACAACGAAGAAGCCAGCGCCAACAACCACGGCAGTACCTGATCCATCCACAATGACACCAACAACAGACTGTTGGATCAGAGAAGGACACTATTGGAAACGAGTTCACGGACAGATACGGACGACAATGTACGTACCACAACAAACAGACGATGGTCCAGACATTGGACGACTCAAATCGACACGGACAACATTCGCGAACAGAACGGAACAAGGAAGAGGATACACAATCCATGACAATTGGCACGAATCAGGAGCAAGACAGCTTGACAATGGACTGGATCAACAAACTTCGAGCAAGAAGCGACGTACAAGTACGAGTACGATACGGACAATGAAGATGAATCTCAACAAGCGCAACGAGCCAAAGGAATGAAGGCGCCACAACAACCAACAAGACGAGAAAGACTAGAACATGAACTGACACATTTACCATACCGCTCATGGTGCCCAATATGTGTCAAGAGCAAAGGAAGAACAGACAATCGTCCAAAACAAGCAAGCAAACAACCAGTGATACAAGTGGACTTCACCTACATGAAAGCACTTGGAGACAAACAAGTACTACCAGTACTGACAGCAATAGATGTCGAATCAGGCATGGCAATGGCAGTTCTTGTACAAGACAAGAACCAACAACAACAATACCTGACACGATGTCTACAAACGTTCATGTTCGAATGTGGACGAGCGCAAGCAACACTATCCACCACAACACTACAATCAGACCAAGAAGAATACATACAGAACCTACTGAAGGCCGTCGCGCAAAAGCCCGGAAACAACGTCAACGTCCGACAATCACCGGCATACTCATGACAATCACAAGGAAGCATTGAACGATTCCATCGCACCTTGATGGGACAAGTCCGCGTACAACAAGTGACCACAAGCTACAACCTCACATTGAGCGTACAGCATCCGATCATGCCGTGGATTGTACGGCATGCAGCCTGGCTACTGAACAGGTATGCCATGCGCAAGGACGGACAAACAAGTTGCCAAAGACGATGGCAGAAGGACCACAAAGCACCACTATGCGAGATGGCAGAAACAGTGCAACACATGATACCAACAACAAAAGCGCAACCCAAGATGGAACCAAGATTCTTCAAAGGAATCTGGCTTGGCAGAGATACAATGACTGGAGAGTCAATAGGTGGCATCCCTGGCAAGGTCATCAGAGCAAGGACAATACGAAGACAGATTATGCCAGACAAGTACGACAAGCAACTATTGGATACTATCAGCGTGTATCCATGGAATTTGCCAACAACACCAATGGCAATTCCACCGCAATTGCTTCTACCAGCTGACAACACCGCAAGCAGACAAGCAATTGGCACACAAGCTGACATTACAGTGGAAGACACAAGCGCACAGACAATACAAGAGACACCACTGGCACTGCCAGCGCGAGCAATGCATCATCAGCCAATGGATATGACAATGGCAACATCACCGTTGGCAACTTCACCAACAACACTGGTAAGACCAAGACTGCCAATACCACCAGCAAGCAAGCGACAACACGAGGAGCCTACAGGTGAAGCGCAATCCAAACAGCACAGTCCTCAACAGCAGCAAACCGAGGACAAGATGAAGAACAACCAAAAGCAAAGATGAGAATACAAGCAGTGACAATCACCACAAAGAAAGGTGACAAGATCACCACAGCATCCTGTGAAGATGAACAAGAAGCAGACGTGGAGAGGATGCTGCACGAACCCTTTGTCTACGACAATGAAGGTCTTGATCCATTGAAAGTACAACAAGGAATGAAGAAAGAAGCGCAATCGATGAAGACACAAGGAGTGTTCACAGAGATGGACTACAATGATGTCCCAGAAGAACACAAGAACAAGATCATAGAATCCAAGTGGGTCAACAAACCCAAACAAGAGGAAGTGCGATGTCGCATAGTAGCAAAAGGCTACTTGGAAACAATCCAAGACCTTGACAACGTCTATGCGAGCACGCCAATCTTTGGGATCTTACGTATCCTACTGACAATGGCACAGCGCAACCACTGGACGATACAAGCAGGAGATGTGTCAACAGCATTTCTACATGTGCCAGCAGCGACAGACAATCTTTACATGTGGACACCGCCAGAACTATACCCAAGTGGTCACAACACAACCACAGTATGGAAGCTCAACAAAGCAACCTATGGACTAAGATCAAGTCCAAAATCCTGGCAGGATCACTTTGCGCAAGTCCTACAACAAATGGGACTATCTCGACTGACAAGTGAACCCAACGTGTACAGGAACAATGAACAGACAATGTTTGTGATGGTCTATGTGGATGACCTACTATTCCTGGGACAACAACAAGAAGTCGACAAGACTTTCAAAGAAGTACAAAAGCATGTACTACTACGACCAACCGGCACATTGGGAATTGGTCAGACAATCCAATTCCTTGGCAGAGACATCCACAACAATGGAGACTTCTTTGAGGTGAGCCTCAAACCAGAATACATCACCACAGTGCTGAAGGAAACAAAAATGGAAGCAAGCAATCCAGCATCAGCTCCAGGGACGGCAACCCTGAAACAACCCACAAACGATGATGCACCTCTAGATGCACAAGAACATGCAGATTACAGAAGAGCAGTAGGAAAGCTTCAATGGCTGACCTACACAAGACCGGACATCAGCTTTGCAACAAAAGAACTGGCGCGAGACCTACAACAACCAACGCAACAAAGCCTACGCAAGGTGAAGCACCTTCTACGATACCTCAGGGGAACACAACACTACAAAATGACCCTGAGGACAACGCATACACCACAAACAAAGGAGCCCATCGACCTCAACATTTATGTCGATGCAGACTGGGCAGGATGCCCATGCGCAAGAAAATCAACAAGTGGATTCATCGTGACAATGATGGGATCCGTGGTACAATTTGGAAGCAGAACACAAGCAGTAGTAGCACTATCATCAGCAGAATCAGAGCTTTATGTAATTGGTACAGGGGCACAAGAAGGACTACATATAGCAAACTTCATCAAGGAAGCAACAACAAAGGTGAACATTCGCATACATACCGACAGCACAAGCGGCAAGAGCATAGCAACAAGAATTGGCTCATCAAAGAAAGCAAAGCGCATTGACCTAAAGTACCTCTTCAACTGGTACAAAGCGGGATCCTATCAATACACAAGATAAGCGAGCACGACAACCCAGCAGACATACTGACAAAGTATGTCCCGGCAGAGGTGCTTAACAAACACCTCTACCTGGCGGGCATTCAATGCCCACAACACCACAATTGAACGACGATCGTGCAAACAGTTTCACAAACATGGCAGCGCCAATGCGTGTACAATACACACACGGGGCATCAAGCCATGGCACACTACTTTAGCTACTATGTGCATACTATGTCATAGACAATATGTACTACAAGATTTCAGTCTCACAATGGATCCGATCTTTTCTGTCGTCGACTCGTAGGGCAATTCGATGAACAATGTGTGTGAAGTTTTGCTTTTAGAATTTGAAAGACAATGCGTGTTCAGTTGACAATTTGTCAACAATCTTTCTGACCGCAGCCGCCTCTTGCTCACAAGCGCTGAACAATCGCGATCAACTATTTGCTGGAGAACAACATTGGCAACAATGAGATGACAATCCCGGACTACCAAAATCAGCGTCGACTTCCCACAAACTCGACAATCTCTTTGTGGGAGGACCGAGCAGTCCTATACAATGAGGACATTATGGAAAAGTCAAAAGACGAGGAAGAAGAAAAGGGGACAAAACGTCCCAGACAATCCTCGGAGGCCCCAGACAATCAGATGGATGACATGGAGGGCTGAGACAATGTCTCAACAATCTGCAAATCTCCAGCTGTGACGATGCCATACGAGCGCAACGATGAGAAGGGCAGCAACACTGGAGAGACAAGGCAGAAGAACATGTACAGACTCGCCTACAATGCCCGAACTGTTTATGTACAATGATACAATGTTTGTAGAGATGGTGTGATTCAACAATGAATCAAACCAAGGGACGGTGTCAAGATACAACCTTCTGTACAATTGTATGTTTACTCCATCGTAGTGTTCATGTACAATTGCATGGTGCTATACAATGCACCCTGGATCAAAGGCCTTGAGCCTAGCCTAGCTTGAGCCTAGTGACAAGTGCCAAAGGAAAACAATACAGAGACGTGCACAAACAAACGACAAACAAACAGCTGCTGAATTTTACAAAGGAGAGAGAGAGAGAGAGACAGGGATATGTGCGATGTGAATCAATGAAGATGTGGGTGGCAGGATATGCACGGATATGTGCAAATGTGAAGATGTGCGTGTCTGGATATGTGCAGATGTAAGTTGTGATGATATGTAACGCACAGTCTTTTGAAAAACCCTTTGTTCAGGCGCTCTCGGGAAAAATGTGTAATTTTTCTTTGGTAGAGAGAGCGGGTTCAAGCTCTTCCCATCGGTGAAACAATTTCCCTTCGCGCTTAAATGATATAATGGTAGGCCATGAAGCAGCTGTTCCATTCTTTCGCAAGTCGTGCCGTCCTTTGCTCAGTGACACTTTGGGATCATTGTCAGGCCACGAATTCGAGGGTCAATCAGATCAAGGACAGGAACTGCATTTGTAATTGTAAGGCTGGATCCGTGGCCAAACCTGGTGGTGGTCGCTCCGGACGTGTGGCACTGGGCATGCAGGAGGGGCAAAGAAGGAGGACACATGAAGCAGAACATGTGCATAGCATGACATGTGATAACTCCAGGACTGCAACACCTGCAGCCCTTTGATCTCAAACAAAGATGTTGGCAAGGGCACTGCTTATCATGCTAGCTGCTAGCTTTTAGTATTTTTGGCATTGAGGGTCTTGTTGAAACTTGCGCCTCTTGACTTGGAGTTTCGAGCAAACGCAAGTGGGCCCTTTTTTGCAAACACGAACGCCAACGCAACATATCAATGGCGCCCAGAAAGTCTTACAATGACCTCTCCAAGGCTTGGAGGACCAACATTCACGAAGCTTTAAATCACACAGTAGATGTACGATGCACGTTGACACCTATTATCACCTACCCATGACTCTTCTACTCAACTGCATCATGCATCTCCATGCTACTAGAAACTGGAGTGCTTAGACCGCAAGAAGTCTTTCTTACTCATAGTATTCTACCCTGACAATCTTGTTAAAACTATGTAAGAATTGCCTCTTGCGCCAGGCAATGACCTGCCTCTTGAGACATGCTGGGAAAAAGCGGGGGCTCTACTTTACTGCAGGCAAGGAGTTGGTCAAGCTGGTATCGATCGCATTCTTCATCATATTTTCGTGCTCCGTCCACTTTCGAACAAGAATGCAAAGTCAGGAAATGTTTCTACAAAGGATCTTTTGCACAGGTGGCTTTGTCCGGCTCTGGGACCTCTTGCCTTGCTTGCGATGCCACACAGTCTCTGACTCTCGGCTGCATCAATGCATCCAGTGACTCTTGCCTTGTTCTTTCCTTAAAGTTTTATGTCGCTCTCGCTCTGGCTCTGGCTGTGGCTCTGGCTCTCGCTCTCGCTCTCTCTCTCTCTCTCGCTTGCTCTCGCTCTCTCTCCCTCTCTCTCCCTCCCTCTCTCCTCGTCTTCTTCTTCTTCTTCTTCGCCTTCTTCGTTTTCTTCGTCTCCGGAAAACTCCGCAACGAAGTGGAGACATATTCGACTGGTGAACTCCGAAGTCTGGCCGTTTATCCTAAAATCATCTAAAATCTATCCCCCCTTCCAGTCTTCGCCCAGCATGGACTTTCCAGCCAGGAGGATGTCGAGCAGGATGTGGTCGAAATTGTCAATGTCATGTTCAACAAAGATGGGAGTCCGAGGTGGAGTATTGCAGTGACAAAGATGTGAGCAACATAGGACGATTTGTTTACACATTTAACACAAGTTAGCCTCACACCGCAAGAGGCACAGGTTGCTTGCTTGAAGCTTGAAACAGACGAACACTTCTTGGAAGTCCTTTGTTTGCAGTTGTAGTCCGTAGCCGTGTACAGTTATATTTTGTCCAGAGGGGTTGGAGCACATTGTTGAGTACCTTGCAGCTTTGGAGCTCAAGTGGCTTTGCAGGTTTGAGCAAACTATCGGTCCGGACCAACATATTTGGGTACGAGCAACGAGGCTGGGTTTGTTTGAATTTGTTCCAGCATGTGGCTTCTGCAAACCTGTGGTCACTGCTGTTTGTGGACAAGTGAACACATTGCACACAGCAAAAGCCGCCTGCATTGCAAGCAGAATGCTACAGACATGATGGGGCTTGTGACAAGGAAACACACCATTCGTGCCATCAATCCTGAGTTACCTGCAGAGATCACTGAGCAGGACCTGCAGCAAAGCAGTCAGCACAGCTTGACGTTTTGAGTCAGTAGTTTGTTTGTCCTTTCTCAGAGAAAGGGTTTTCACATTTGGGCAGAAAGGTTTACGCTTCTCAAGACTACTATGATCATTTATGAACCGATCTGATGACCAGGACGTGGAAGAGGGACGGAGACACCGCAAGAAGAACCAAGAGGCTGCCAGTCGCTACTTTGATGCCAGCCACGTCTACTGGAAGTTGTCTACGAAGAGCTTGCATTTTTTTGCAGGTTCCTTTCTTTAGAGTAGCTGAGCTAAGACCTGCAGGAGCAACAATGGGCAGCGACCGGCTCGAGCCAGCTTCCTCCCATAGTCACTTTGTCAGCATTGATAAAGCCACGTGTGAAGTGATAGGGCCTCATTAGAGCCCTTGCCCTCTTGTTTGCATTTATTTTTTCGTTTAGTTCTAAATATCCAAGTGCTTGATCGGCGTCAATTGCTCGAGTAAGGTTGGACGAGTGAAAGCAGATTTCAAAGGTCTCTTGCATGCAGGAAGACAATCATGAGATGAAATGTTCCCCATGCCCGGTGTAGGCACCATGCTGTACATTGAGCTCAGGAAGCGAGTTTGTGGATCAGGAGTATCCCCATGAAAGGCATCTAGGCTTGCTGGAAGATGATCTGAAGCTGTGCTGAGTCTGAGTTTGTCTATTTGTCTCATGCAGTCTCTAGTCTCAGGTACCTTGACCTGCAGCGGGGTGAGTTTGTAATAGTCAGCAACTTGGAGGCACAAGAATCCCGGAAGAATGCTGGAGAAGGTAAACGTTTTGGACGTCACACTGAAAACGGTGCCCCCCTCACAGATTTGATGTACCTAGAGGCCTTGTACTGAATTCGCGCCTTACATTCAAGGATCAATGAGCCCCGAAGAAGGGTGGTTCCGCGGAACAACCCTGACTGGCGAAGAAGGCACTTTCCAAAGTCATGAATGGAGGGTTTCTTGCAGAGAACTTCTAGACTTCACGCCCACGATGTCATCCAAACACTTATATAAGAATATAAGCGGCCTGCTAACGGAACAGCCGGACTATTGAGTCGAGCCAAGCTCAAGCAATGCTTTCTTGTGCCAGTTGATGATGTGGCTCCAGACTTCAAACGATAGCTCAAACAGTTCAAACAACACAGCTGAGCATCCGACAAACTTCCGGATATTTTCTGACACCCTTCCTTGATTGAAAGCAGCTCATTGCCTGCATTATGAAACACTGGAAAACAATAGCGGCCAACCCAAAATACTTTTAGCATTGGGGACATGAAGAAGTTGCCAATCTCCTGAAGTTTTGTCTCAGCCATATAACCCGCAAGGCCGATTCCCAGCAGTGTTTTTTCAACCAGCTGAAGGAGTTTCTCGGCATGCCGATGTCAGACATAATCAAAGCTGCGCCAAGTTTGACTGTCCAACTTTTTCGCAAATCGCTCGCAAACCCACACAAAGGCTGAGACACAGTGAGACGTGTGGCTGCGTGAGAAGCAAGGGTTCCAATGATCTTCTGTCTTCTCAGCAGAGATCCTTGATCCAAGCCCTAGCATGCACATGCTGCTCAATGCAGAAAGTGCATGGATCACCAGTCAACTTGACAAAGCGCTTGCAAAAGGGTGCTGGACATTGCTGGGCTGTGTTCACGAGAAATCCTCCTGAACCGCCCCTGAACTGCAGTCTGAGCCGCTGTGGTGATTTAATCGCAGGACTACTTTCGCCTGGCCCAAGCTTCGCAACTCCGCCTCTCACAAAGCGAGTTAGAGGTACTTCGGACGAAACGCTGCAAGGTTTTGGAGCTCCGTGCGTGGACACAGGGTCCTTTTGCCAGCTTTGTCCCTTCAGGCAGTGTTCCGAGAAACTGCTGAGCGATTTGGCAGCCCTGCAGACTCTGGAGAACCAGCCTTGGTGCTGTCCTTACTGTGCAATAGAGTATTTTGCCGGGTGCGCATTTATCCAAATCTACTATCACTACGCCTCACTGCGCGCTCTGAGTGCTGCCCACCCACAACCAAATATTCAGAAAGCGCAGTGAATGTGGGGGCTTTTAACCAACTGTAGTTAAGAGATGTGCTAGGACTACACTTTCATCTCGCTCATTTTTCAAAACTCTTCCTTGCCTAAAGAAGAATTTTGCTTAATTGCCCAGGCCTTTGAGCTTTTCGTGGAGCTCCTGGTGGAGACTGGGCGCAGGTGGGGGAACAAGCCCAATAGAGGCCCATGTTTATGATTCTTCAGATTTTCAAAAGGCTTTGCATAGTTACCTTGAAGTTATGCCTCAGCCTCAGCACAGGCAGTTTGTTGACCGCAAGGACACAGAGTCTGCTGCAGCTCTTTTTGAGGTTCTTTGTCGTTGGTTTTCAAAGCGACATGTTCTGTGTGTATTTTAATGTATTTTGAGGATTTAAATGACATTTTTATACAAATTGAATATGATGGGTATATCCACTGCCTGACAGGTACATCTACTGCCCTTGGCGCGCAGATTGCCATCACCTTGATTTCCAATCAATTCTTCATTTATTTAGTAAACTTGTTATTGTATACTGTATTTGAGGCGAACCCAACCAGCTTAAAGAGAATGTTTGAAATAACTAACATAAACAACAATAATCACGAAAGCTAGCGAAGCTAGCTGGAGTTACTCTTGCGATAGCAAGGTTTCTTTCGACCGGGTGCAAATCCTAACCCCTGATTTTTCAGGTCGAAGACCCCCCCCC